CAGATACTTTCGATCAAAACTGGCAAGAGATAATGGATGAACTTGATTTAAACCTTTCTGACCAAGACTGGCAAGAAATAATTAATGCAGCCAGCTCAAGTACTCCCAACCAAGACCAGCAACAACCAATAGATATAGTTGATCCAAGTACTTCCAGGCGAGGTCGAAAACGACCAATTGATGAACTGGGTCCAAGTATTTCCGAACAAGATTGGAAAGCCATAATCGATAAACCCGATCCAGGCATTCCGGAAGACTGGCGAGATTTGATTGATGCAATCAATTCAAAAAATTACAGAGAATACTGGCAACAACCGATTGATCGATCCGGTCCAAGTACTTCCAATCAAGATCAGCGACAACCAATCGATGTAGTTGGTCCGAGCACTTCCAAACGAAGTCGGAGACAACCAATTGATCAGCCCAGTCCAATCACCTTTAGCCAAGTGTCTGGTTCAACTCATGAGCCCAATCCAAGCACTTTCAATCAAGACCAGCAACAACAAACAGATGGAAACGATTCTGCCAATACTAGTTCAAATCAAGTGACTGAATTAAGCCGAAGAGATCAGATAACCCTTGATCGTATAAAGCAAAGACTTGTAGCGTTTAAAAAGGTACGAAAGGAAAACCATAAAAAACATCATGAGTATATAGCTCTTGGAATCAATCAAAAGTTAGCGTTAGCAATGGGAGAAGAGATATCCGAGTCAAGGCACAATCCAAACACTGAAGACCAATTGAAACAAGAGTATGAAAAGGCAAGCAGAAAAGTATATAATGTCAGACAACGATTGAAGGATTTTATGGCAAAACATGGTTTAAGATTTGAAGAACCGAATTAGGATTAATGATGTGTCGATGAATTTGATTTTGAATAAATTTAAACTTTCTGATATGTTGATATTTGTCGAGTATTGTGAATGGATCAACAACCATATCATTGATTGCATACTGTATGTTTGTGTATACTGTGTTTGGTATTACATCAACAGTTACTGGATTGTTGATTGATACATTGGCATGGCTTGTTCCATATACATCAATGACATGATAACAACCAGTGTTGGTTGTGACTATCAGTCATACTTGCAATCACTTGTCAGTTGCATGATACCACCAACTGATCATGTCGTGCATCGTACAACAAACGGAGCAATACACTTGTTGAAAGTCGGATGTAGATTGCGACATCGACTGGTTTGATATTGGTCAATTAGTGTTGTTTTATGACAGTTTACAATGTAATATATGCAGCATGGTATTGGTAGTGTCGTATTCGTGTAAAATGGACCACTGAATAACAGTGTTCATGACACTGACTGTTCATCACTATCCAACCCAATCTCACCATTTCAATCAATCTTGGTCAATGTTGATGGTTTACACGCTAATTCATTATCCAATCTTGTCTGGCATTATTATTGGCTTTAATCACATTTGGTTTGTACAACTGCCATGAGTTGTACTACCATTATCATTGTGTATTTGAACACCAAATATTCCAATACATCAATAATACCACAGTGTAAACAGTAGTACAGTTGATCAGTATTGTGGCAAGACTTTTCATCCAAGTTTGTATTTGGAAATACTCGATGGTTTAATCACAACACACTGTTTGTAATGCAATTGTCATTGATTTCATTCCAGTCCAGTCCAGTCCATCCGATTTATGATGATGTTTAGTAATTCATTACCATGTGTTGTAGTAAACTAACTTGTTTATTAAACCAAATCTACAACGATCACATTCAGAATATTAATTTACAGTATTTCTAAATGCATGTTTGATAACAATCCAATTTTGTTACAAAAAACTGATCAAAACAATACTAAAATGGAACAACTCGCTTGTGTGTTTGACAACAATCCAAACATGAACAATTGTTGGCAATTGTTGGACATTCGCATGAATGAAATTGTCAAATCAAAATTCAACTTTACTAATTTTATCAAACATGAAGTTAGATGATGTTATGAAAGAGTTGATCCAACACAAGGAAGATTTGGAACTGTTAACAACGGATGATCAACTATATAAGGCTGAACAAACATGGGACAGACTGCTTGTATTGATACTGGAGTTGAAAGAACAGAATTACAGTAAGTTTAATAGCCATTGTATTATTGATGAGTTCAAACCATTGCTGACTTTGTGTTGGTTTGGAGTGACAGGCTTTAAAGTTATAGTGCCTCGCTTACAGAGTATTGGACTGGAAGATATCGCAGCTGAGTATTTGGAGTATAATCGACCCAGTTTACAGGTATTCATATATTGTAACAATAATGGATTGCTGTTCATGACTAAACTAATCAACATGTGTTGTGTAGATCGAAGTAATGGAGTTTACTACAGTGTTTTTGAGTATGGTATACTATGATGATGATTTCAAAGTATCACAACGATTAAACAACCAACTCTCACAACTCATGCAATCATCAAACCGTCAAGTCAAAATAGCGGCAAGTCATGATTGGTATTGATCAAATGATTGTCATTCAACTTATCTAGTGTCAATATGCATATAGGCGATAAAAACATGTACAGAGTTTTACAGTTATAAACGCTGGAGTGAGGAGTGTAAACTTGACATCAAGTCTATGGTTGAGATTATTGTTCACGATTCTGATCAAGAAATGCTCAGATTGTCGATTGACCTGTTTTCGACCGTTTGCAGTGAGATTGACGATCAAAATGTATGTTTACAACAATACAATATTGGATCAGTTTGGACAGTGTCATGTCATGTTGATCTGATTGGATACTTGACATTGAACAATATCATTAGCTTGGCATCGTGTTGTCAAGACTCGTTTCACGACTGGAATCATCCGATGGTTC